GAGGATAAGCTGGATCACCCAGAAGAAACACGGAAACAGCCTCCTCATCATCCAATAACTTCTTAGGACAGGGGGGTATCGTTCCATCCTTTAGGTCGCTACTCAGTTGAGAATTGGCAAATATACGCGCGTCATGTACGCTCCCCGGCCATTTTACAACGACGTCCATGAAACAGTACTTATAGTCACACAATGCTTGTATATTCAAAGAATATTTACCCTTTCTATTAATAAAGTCTGTGGAGTTGGATAGAGGTCTTCTTATCTCGATGTGTGTGCAGTCAATTGCACCCAAGCACTGCGGCATTCCGTGTGTCCTATAAAAGTTGGCGACCAGTTCATTAACTTTGGCCTCTGTTTTCGGTGCCTTGATGTATTCGGGGCCCAGGGTGGTGGTAATAGCTTTACATACTTGTCGAATGATGATTGAAACGACCTGTCTGGACAGTCCAAATGCATTTGCAGTTTTTCTGATCCTTCCCTCGTCACTCAGGTAATACAAGGTACACGCAACCTTTGTGAGTACATCCACTGGCGCCCGCAATCTCGTCGTCTGTCCTTCCACAAACGGACGAAGTTTTTCGCTGAGGTGGATCATGCCCGACCTAGACATCCGAAAGTTCTTATGCCAATCCTCGGGAACAACTTCTTCACTTACAAACATGTCCCACTATGCACTGGTTCTTCCCGGTGTAATCCAAAATCGGCGTTCTAAATAGGGCTTACGTCGCTTGAAACGCGAGCGATTAGCGAGAGCTCGAACGATAGCTTGTCTCTTGCGAATATATGCAGCTGCTGTAGCAAAAAATGCAGAGTTTAACTGCACAATGGCGCCTAAAACAGACAATAATGCAAACAACGCTCCAATTTCCGTGTCCATGTTGTTGTTTACAGTGAAGGCTGGTCAGCTGTCTTCATGCGTTTTAGTCATGTGAGGGGGGCTTGACGAATAAGGGAAGGATACGCAATGGCACTAAAGCCCCAATCAGAGAGGCGAATCTCAGCAGCCCCGCCTCCGTTTTCAGATGTTTCCGTTTTCCATCATCCACACTGAGACGGAGCAGCAGCGTTTTAAAATGAAAACGGCCTCTCCAGCGTTTTCGAAACGCTCCGTTTTCGGCGCTCGAGAACTCCGGCGTAGTGTGGACGGATGGCGTAACCGTAGCAAAACTTATGCGTTTTCAAACTAAAACGCACTAGTGTAAACGGGGCCTAAGTCTCTGTGGCGCAATCGGTTAGCGCGTTCGGCTGTTAACTGAAAGGTTGGTGGTTCAAGCCCACCCAGGGACGAATTAGGCATTTTGCTGCCTTGCAACTGCTAACACGTGCACTGGACATAGATCCTGGGCCACATTCTGTCCAGCGTTACAAGATGAATTCAGGATTTAGCAGAACATTGTCATGGGTAGGAAGGTATTACTGTAAACGGTTTCTGGTTCCTAAAAGAGCTTCTCATCATCCCCGCTAGCTCAGTCGATAGAGCATGAGACTCTTAATCTCAGCGTCGTGGGTTAGAGCCTAACATTGGGCGTTTCTGTTACCTCTCATTCTCTCAGCAAACTATCATTAGGGTTCATATAGCAGACCTTTTGAGACAAAGTTCCGCGTTTCTACCACTGTAGGTGACCTTTCACTAAGTCTCTGTGCCGCAATCGGTTAGCGCGTTCGGCTGTTAACTGAAAGGTTGGTGGTTCAAGCCCACCCAGGGACGGATCAAGCATTTTGCTGCCTTGTAACTGCTAACATGTGCACTGGACATAGATCCTGGGCCACATTCTGTGCAGCGTTACAAGATGAAATCAGGATTTAGCAGAAGATTGTCACGGGTAGGGAAGGTATTGCTGTAAAGGGTTTCTGGTTCCTAAAAGAGCTTTTCGTCAGCCCGCCTAGCTCTGTCGGTAGAGCATGAGACTCTTAATCTCAGGGTCGTGGGTTCGAGCCCCACGTTGGGCGTTTTTGTTACTTTTCTCTCTCTCTCCCAGCAAACTTACATTAGGGTTCAGGTAGCAGACTTTGAGACAAAGTTCCGCGTTTCTACCACTGTAGGTGACCTTTCAGTAAGTCTCTGTGGCGCAATCGGTTAGCGCGTTCGGCTGTTAACTGAAAGGTTGGTGGTTCAAGCCCACCCAGGGACGAATTAAGAATTTTGCTGCCTTGCAACTGCTAACATGTGCACTGGGCATAGATCCTGGGCCACATTCTGTCCAGCGTTACAAGATGAAATCAGGATTTAGCAGAATATTGTCACGGGTAGGGAAGGTATTACTGCAAACGGTTTCTGGTTCCTAAAAGAGTTTCTCATCAGCCCGGCTAGCTCAGTCGGTAGAGCATGAGACTCTTAATCTCAGGGTCGTGG